AATTTCAGGGTCAGAATGGTACTGAGAGCAAAAATGGGATACACCATAAAGAGAGTATAATGTGTATATATGGGATACGTTGCAACGAGAACACCAAACATGCACTAACCAAAAACAGAGTTATCACTGCACGTGGTACTGTACCTCTTTTGGATATAATAGTGGCAGAGATGAGTGTTGCAGTGTCAAAAAGTAGGAAAAAATATGCCCCTCTGTTCTCATCACTGCAGAAAGCATTTACCAAGACCAAAGATCAAGTGCATCACTATGTGGCAAAGCCAAGCTGTGGAGACTGTAGGGTATCATAAATAAATGTAAAACTATGAATTAAACACATCACAGTGAAGAGTATAACCAAGAAACTAAACACAGAAAAGTGCTTGCAAAAATGTCATTTAATAAATATTTGCTTCTATATAAAGGGGTGTGCTGTAACACAGGACGGCCCAGGAAAGGTGTAATTGAGAGTCTGATGATCCAGTGGACAGGTTTAACAACTCTTTACAGTCTAGGTATAATTTTCAATTGCAAATTGAAAGCCTCCCTGAGGTTAAACATTCACATAAAGGAGTCAATTGGAATGTCACAAAATATACTCTTTTCCTGGGTCTACACTGAAGAAAATACTTTGGTTTTTTGCAGGTTTCATATGCATGCAAGTCTCACAAAACAGATTTGAGACCACTTAATGCACATACTAAAAACTTACTAAATAGCAATAAACAGATATAGCATTCTTCTTCTCTTTAAAGAAGATATTAGCTGTACCACTTCTTCCAAAAGACAGACCTTCATAACAACTAATTCTGATATCAAGCAGCAGTTTCATTCTGACGATTAACAAGTTTCTAGATTTTTGTTTCCTACTTCCCACAGCAGGAAACTCAGAGTGAAATCTTCCTGCTTAGAATGGAAACAATAGTCTTTGAGACTTAATATTAGCAAACTTAAAACAGTTCATAACTACAATTGATCCCATAGCAGTTTCAGCCTTTTGCAGGGCAAGTTATTTTCTGCCCATGTACTTGGAACTACTTGGGTGGGCACAGAAGAGTCAGAGAGAAGATTCTGTGTCCAAGTTCAAAGCTGGAATGTGGGACAGTTGCTCACTCCTGTCCCTCTGTGTAACTGGCTTTCTGCTAATAAATAGCAAGCACTGTGCACTAAGCAAGGTCAGACTGGACAGGGCTGTTGTCTATTGGAAGGTGTCCCTGCCCACTGCAGAAGGGTTGGACCCAGATGGTCTTCAGTGACCCTTCCAATCCAAACCATTCTGTGAGTCACAATTTCCATCCAATTCAAATCTCAGCAGCCAAACAGCAAATCTTAATAAAGCATTTTCACAAAAGACTGCCAAAAAATGCAGAGCATCAGATTCACAGGAAAATCAACAATATTATTTTTCCATAATTTCAAAAGATTTCATCTATGGCAAGTGAAGGCTACCCCACATTCAATAACTCTGAATAAGCCATACAGTGATTGAGATAAAGAAAGATCATTATTCATGCTTTCCAGATTATGGATTTGCCTTGACAGGTAAACTGTTATGTAAAAGCCTTGTCATCATTGCCAGTGTTTTCCATTTTTTCACCTGTCACCATAACAAATTTATTACCAACTGTTTTGTGTAGATTCATCAATCCTCTAAATCAGGTTATGTGCATCACTAAATTCACTAGGCAAGAATAAGCGACTATAACTTTGAGTTGCAAAGAAATAGAAAATGGAACCTGGAAACATCTAAACATAACCTACAAAAAACCCTGCTTATTTCTTATTTTCATTTGCATGTCATTAATATGCATCCTGGCATGAGTGCTTTGCATTATAAAAAAGGTCTTACCTAAGGCAAAAATCCCAACTTTAGAGAACATTTGTTAAAAATAATTCTCGGGGGTTTTTCTGTTGTTGCATTTAAAAAAAATATAATTGGGTAGGTATTCCTCGATAACATTCTCAAAATAAATTGTACAATACAAAATGCTTTACTTTACCCCCTAAGGGAAAATGACAGCAACTAAGACTCTCATTAGCATTAGTTTCCAAACAACTAATAAAGGAACAAATCTTCATCTTACATCCAGTGAAATGGAAGCACTCATTATTTTCTGCAGCAAGTCCAACTTTTAGAACAGTATGATGATTTTGTTTATAAAAATCTGAGGTACAATGAAAGAATACAATAGCATAAATGAAAAGCCAGGCTTCCCATAAACCAGTAATTCAGGCTAGGCTATTCATGTCTCTTAGCATCTAGAGACAAAAAAAATCTCTGGTGAGAAAACAGAACTCCAGAACAATGACAGTAATGAAAAGATTAGTTTGGGCTGGGATGGATTTCACAGACCACCTGGCCCACCTCTCCACTCAAAGAAAGACTTTGGACATTACATCCCACAGGCCACTGTCCAAAATCAAATTCTGAATCCCTCAAAGACTGGAGAGTCCACCATCTCTCCAAGCAACCTGTGGCAGCATGGGCTTCACTGCTTCCCACACCACTTGTCAGAGTTTTTCTTTAAGAAACCTGTTTGTCCTTTTGCTGCTCACCTTCAAGATGAGCCCACCCCCTTCCTACTGCTGACACTTGTCTAAATTTAAGACCAGCAAAAGTACCACTTTTGTTTATAGACTTAAGAGGAATGCCATCAAATGTGCAATTACAATTCCATTTCCCATGTTATCAGTCACAGAAATTTATGCAGTCCAATAGTTTACTGCATCCATACTTCTATTTGTAAACCTCAACCCTTTGAAAAATCATAGCTAATCTTCCCCTAAGCCTCCCTTTTCCTCGAGTCTCTCCCCTCCATCCCATGCCTTAAGCTTTTGCTGGAAAGTAGGCCATGAACAAATTCCCCTAAAAGGGGAAGAACTGAAAATATTACAGAAGTGACAGAGCTCTATTGTAGCTTTCCAGGCCCAATGTGAGGACAACAGGAGTCAGAAATAGAGAGATTTTTCAACTCCTAGAAAATATTCTTATTTCCTCTACTTTCTCCACTAGAAAATACTTACATTTGACCAATCACAGCCCAAAGCCTAGCAAACAGGCAAGTGCACACAAAACCAGCATTGCAGTTAACAACCAAGAATTAGTAAAATGCCTTAGATTGCAGCATATTTGTCAAACTACATTCTGTAAACCAGCTTTATACTGGGTTTGCCACATGGAAAAATAGTTATGAGGTAGGAGAACACATCTTCATTTAAGAGAAATCTTAACAGCCTAATTCAAAGAATTATTAGTATAGAGCTAATTATTGCAGAAAAAGGTGAACATTACCATACAAAAAAAAAACCAGTTGCAATAGTAGTAATAATTAAGACTGTTGTACCTGCACCTCCTAGTACCTCACTCCTGTTCTTGGTGTTAACTCTTCAACTGCCACTTTGGCTGATGATGTCTATGCCAGGGACATACAGCAAGCCATTAGCATCCCAAGTCCAAGTGTGATGTTGACAATTTCTTTCCCTTTACTACATAATTGACTTGAAAATGCTTTTATGTTTGATACTTCACTTGTAACATCTCTATCATTGTACCATCCCTTATTAGTGAGAATGGTCATATCCAGGTTACTGCTGAAATAGCCAGAAATGCAGCCCCTTCTCCATTCCCCTGAAACATTTACAATGAACTAGAACTGGGCATTCTTTTTACTACAAAAAATTTATCTGCAGGAACCAAGTTAAACATGAATGTCTGGAACGCTGCTCTTCTGAAACTATTTGTTGCCATTGTAGACTACCTTAACCTTAGCTTGCCATAAACTGACATCTATATAACCTTCTCAGCTGCAAACCAATGAAACAGTAGTTCTAGATATATCAAAGAATATTGTTACTTAAATATATTATAGCAAACTTTCAAGTCTGAAATTAAATTCTAGTTCTGAGTTGCACCATCTTAGACAAGGTGGTCCTTTCCTTTTTCATTCTTAAAGCAATTAGGAATTAAAGTCTAAACAACACCTGCACAGCTTACTTAAGACTTTACATATTTAAAGCAATCAGGTCAAACCAAATCTGAGAATAGAAATACATACTGCACACTTTTATCAGGTCAAGGTGACTGTACTGGTAAACATTCAAAAATCACCGCAGCTAGTAATGACTTCAGTTGAAAAATAATCCTTAAGATGACTGTCCCACAAGTACTTTTTCCTCCTGTTTAAAAAAATATTGATGCATTGTAAGGTCTTCCAAACTAGTCAGGCAGAGTCACTTCCATAGAAACTAGGGAAGTGCAATTGGGGGACCAGCTCTTTGGACAGGTGGAGGTTCTTCCAAGTGATCCTTGGTTGATAACTTCACCTCCAAACCAGAAACAAGCTGGGAGAATTGATGAACCTCATAATTCCAGAAGAGACTGCTTAGACTGTAATCAAACAGCAATTTAGTGCCATCTGCACTTACAAATTTAAACAAGAGAGTTCTGAAATGGCTTCCTCTCCAACAGACCTGATGACTTCTTCCTAGAAAGGCTGACTGCACACTCTAGTAGGTATTTATGAGCACCTCTGCATTAGGAGCTAGAGAAGTTAGAGTCAAGGTAGAGAAATCATGCTGATTTTAGATTCTAAATTTAATCCAAAACATCCCATGAATAGGTTGATCTTCTACAACCATTGGAGAACACCGAATGTGACACAGCAAGTCAGCAACTGGTCCCGATTCAGATCTAGGTACTACAGATATTTTTTAAAAAGAACCATCCAGACACAGTCTTTTAGTTAACATGAAATTAGTTAAGTATTGAAAGCTAGGTAGTGGTTTATGCCTTGTATATAGGAAAAAAACCTACCTCAAAATTTAGATGTCAGATTTTCAGTTCCCATGTAAGATTCAAATTTGCAGAAATTGAGAAAAATGTTTTAGCACAGCAATACACCATCATCCTAAAAATATAATATTGTCTATGTGAGATACCCTCATCACTACTTAACAGTAGTTATATAAACTCTTACATTTATTACAAAATAGATTTCCATCACTACATACCAACTTCCAAAAGGCTTTTATTTATCATCTTAAAGTAGCAGATATAAAAATAAACTATTATTCAATATTCAGTTATTTTTATCATATAAATTTCTTTTTGGAAACAGAAAACATACACAGAAAAAAATAATTTCCTACAGATGTCCCACAAAGCACAAAACTCCGCATTTGTTCTACCACTGCAGTAAAAGAAAGCATCTCCAGAATAAGGGAATGCAGTCCTGGCAGGCTGTTCTTTCTCCCTGTAAACTGCAGTGCTGTACATGAACCCATATGGAATCTCAGTAAGGCCCAAACTGAGGAGGATGGCTGTCTGGAGGAGGAGGTGGCGGCGGCGGCGGTGGTGGCAGAAATGAGCAGGATGAATTGTACGTGTTTGGGCCTGTCCACATCACATTCATATTTGAAGGCGGAGGGGGGAATTGATGCCAATCACTGACATAACCAAAATCTGGAGGAGGGAAGCCATACTGTTGCATCATTGGGTTTTCTCTTCTGTGAGGTGGTGGGAACACTGGTGGTTCCTGGTTCATCCTCCAGTCTGAAAAGTACAGTGGTGGTGGTCTTACTTGTGATCTGAAAAACCCTCGAGGGCCTGATGGAGGAGGAAACAGATCCCTGGAGAACCCTCTGCCACGGTATCCCCTTGAGTAACTTGAAACAGGCTGTTGCACTGAGTGATGAAGTTCTTTATTCTCACCTAAAGAATAAACAAATAGAAGAACCCCCCACACACAGCTGTAATATTATTTTGGAAAGATCAGGCTTAGTCTTCACAAATCTTTCAAGCTGAAGTCAATGAAATTTGTAAAGCAATCTTATCAACAAGTAATACTGGCAACTAATACATGAAGAATAAAATAACAGCAGCAAATCTACTGTTCAGTAACTAATCTTGATTGATAGAAGTAATATCAAAAGGATGATCCTGAGAGTTTCAAACTCAGTCTTTAAAAAAGAAATTTCATCTTCTTTCCCTCCAGACTTTTCATTTGTATAAATGGAACACGCAAATTTTGAGTATTTTGGAAGCTTTTAAAACAAGATTTTAGAACAACACATTTAAAAACTAAAGATAAATCAACACTGCATTACACTGAAGGGGTATCCAGCCTTCAGTCCCAATTTGGTATTACGGCATAGACACAAGAAATTATTCCAACTCACATTAATAAAATTAACTTATTTTCTTATCAGAACGAAAAGACTTATAACTTATCAGAAAAACCACAGTCTCTGCCCTCTAGCCAATTAGCTTTCAGCATTCATCTTTTTAAGACAAATTCTTCTTTGCACAACTCACTCTAAACATACATTTAATGTTCATAACAAATATATTGCCCCTTTATATAAATATCATTGAAATTTTAATGGGATTACGACGATAAAATGCAAAGCACGGAAATACTAAAAATGCTCCAAAGAGCTGTTAAGATATTCAAAAAGCTGCAGAACTTAAACCCTCAGAAGGATTTTATGTCTGGGAGCAACAAGGTATTCAGGAATATAACACCACATAAAATCACTGAAATTTAAAAGCCTGTGTGAACCTCATCCTTGGCACCTGACTACATAGCTTTTCAAAGGTGAAAATGTTTTTTAGTCTGGAAAGGTAGTTGGATACCAGAACTTCTACACATCATGGGAGATTAGGAGTTAAGATTCCTTTTGTACAAGCAGACCTCTTGGAAGCACTGAAGTACTTGAATAAGTATTTTTGTTCTTTCATCAAATACTCTAACAAGAGACAATACACTCATGTAAGTCTTTATCTGAGACCAACTTTATGCCTCAATTTGTGACATATCATTGCTGTTGAATTCTACAGCCAAAACAAATTGCACACAACTTCAATCTGTGCCATATTATTTACAAAAAACCCACAGCAAATCAAAACCTGTCTTCCTTGACAAGAGTGCTGCAGTTCCTCCTGCTGTGTTCTCAGTTATGGAACAGCCATAGGAACAGTAACATCCAGCAAGAGACTCAAGATGCCCAAGGCAAAGGCAGGTCTGCAATAAACTGGCAGACCAAGGATGTGGTGGAAAACACACATATGCTGGATTAACAGAAAAAATAACCTTCAGTAATGAAGAGAGAGTGCAGCACAATTCAGATCCATCTCTTAAGGGAAAAAAAAAACTGTCAAAACCATAGGGCAAAAGCCAGTCCAAGAAAGATTGTGGCTTTATTTGATTGATACAAGGGAGGATTGTACTGCACAAAAAGTATTAAAGGACACCTACTGATCTCCCAGATCAAGAGAAAAGGGTTTCAGCAGGGCACAATGCATATTAGCTTTACAAAGGAAGAGCAGAAAAGTCACAGGAGTCTGAGAAATTCAATGGGGGAAGCACCATGCTGCAGATAGCTGAAGCAATCTGGTAAGTAAGCAGCAGAACAGGGTAAGGGATGAGAGTCATATTTAAAGGGAGAGGTATAAAAAGCATGCACCCAAAGCAGACCAGTGAGAACAGAAAAAGAGGAATGCAATATGAATTATTCAACCAAAATGGCAATCAAAAAATCACAGTTTTTTCAGGAGAGGCATGAGAGACGAGAAAATTTGATTATGGTAAACAGAGCACAGCTGCAAGCATGCACCAGGAACAGATACAAAAGCAGCAGGAGAATGGAGAGTAAAGAAGGCTATTCAAACTATGAAAATCTATACAGCTTTGGTCATCGAATGACTGCATTAGGTAAACAGAAAGGTTCTCAGCAGGTTACAAAAGTAAGAGTTATTTAGAAGAGTATCTGTATGTCATGGGTGAGGAAGAGCTTCATTTTAGACAGAGGAGTAAATTCTCCATCCAAGACCTGTATCTCCTCCCTTGATTGCAAGGAAGTGGATTTCCAAAAACTGCACACAGCCTTCCTCTGTCGTCTCCCAGCACTCAAAGGCTTTAGCTGAACCCCAACCAAATGGTGGCATCTGTTCAGAATCCTCACTGTGCGTCAACCAACACTGTTCTTCTAAGAGCCTTTCACTTTCCCCTGACAATGGCTCTGCTGCTATACCACCTCCCTTGCACAGGGCTTCCACTTCAACAGAATAAAACTTAATTTTAGTTATAAAATAATAAACATGGAATGTAGCCACAAACTCAAATGTAAGTTAAAAAAGTACAGAAAGTGTTAACTACAGAAAAACTCAATCACTAAGACAGTTATAAATGGGCATTCCAAACTTAGATTAACAGACAAAAGCATTCACTCACTTGGTGGAAGGGCTTCTGATCGGATTTTCTTCCTTCCTTGACTTTGAGATTTTCTTTTCTTCTGTTTTGCCTCTCTTTCTTCTTCATCATCACTGAAATCCAAAACCTAGTAAAAAAAAAAAATCAGCTAGCTTCTCAGCACAAGAAAAAAGTTAACACTCAAAAAATTAGTCATAACACAATTGATGCATGACTCAGTTATCCTTTCTAATTTTCCTGAAAAGAGCAACATTCCAGAGCTGAACACAAATGTTTGATTGCCTAGATGTTAGTAAGAAAAGAAAAGGAGCTGCCAGGAAAAAGCTTTCAAAGATGAACTGCAGATAAAATGAATTAAAAAATGAATTGTTAAAATAAATAAAAATTACTTTGGCAAGTAATACATAATTCAGCATTAAAACTACATTATAAAATCTCTACTCTAAAACTGACACTACACTGGAATTTTCTGCAGTATACTTAATAACATTTCCTGTTGAATTTCAAATAGCAATGTTATTCCAAAGAAATTTTCAGCTTTGAGGAATGTTGTCATTTACAACAGATTCAACGTCCCTGCAACGTTTTCTTCTTGTTACACAAGGTTTTGCTACCTTTTGAATCCTAACTTACATGACTGAGGGTAAGTTATCAGGGACAGGGAAGAAATCTGTCAGCATTAATTAGTTCCCTGAAAAACAGCTCACTCATACAACTTAAAAGGGGTAGGACTTGTTCCTAACCCCCCTTCCCAATTCTAAAAGTAGGGGCTATGCTGCTTACTTCTATCATATACACAGAGCACGGATCTCAAAAACACTGCACCAAAACAGTGCTTAAAAAGTCTCATAAAGTTAATTTTGAATACAACTATTTCTTCTACTACATAACTAGATGACATTCAAAAAAGCTGTAAGAACTACAGCAAGATGATGTATATCATGAAGTAAAATCTTTCACTAACTCCTGTTTTTTCTAAGAACTCCAGTACACTATACTCCAGTAGTGCAGAAATAATGAACAGCAATTTGAACATATTATGCTCAAATTATTTGAGCAAATAAAGGACACCTTTTACTGCTCTTTAATTTCCATGTAACATCCCAAAGAAGTCACCCCACAGAAAAACTATGGTTATCTGCTGCTGATAACTATGGTTATCTTGCAGCATACAGACCACATTTAGTCATCCTCTGAGCCCGAAGACAAAGCTAGGAGAGATTGTATAAGTGAATCCACAAATAAGCTGGGCTACTTAAGAGCCTGCCAAAAAGGAATGATTACCATATAACTAAAAGTAGCAAGTAAGAAAAGCCTATCATGGATTAATTTAACATTCATACAAAAACAAAGCTTCACACTATCACAAAAAGAAGTGACTCCAAAAATTGCACACAGCTTACTACAGGGGCTGGCAAGAAATCAGATTGCTGGCTGCAATCTGCGGTCTCTAAAAGGGTCTGCCCCTAAGAGACAATTTCAAGCATCAGTAGCATAAAATTTGATCTGCACCCCTATCAGCAGCTATTACCTTCACAGCAAAAGCTACTTTCTATCAGCTAATCAACTGTCACAGCTTGGGATAGCATGGTATAAACTCTAACTGCTAGAACTAACCAAAGATTATTCTAATTGAGGATTACAAGATGTTAGATGTGGGTTTTTTCCCAAACAGCACACAGTCAGAAGAGTGCCCACCCTTCTCATCACTGACTTTTTTTTCAAGCTTCCTTTGTTCGTTCCTATAGTGAGGTACAACGAATTTAAATTAAGAAAAATCTTTAAGAAAAAAAAACCCAAACTTTGGAAAAGGCAATGAATCTGTATCTGCAGATTTGACTAACTGTACTTGGCCAATAAAATTTCATTGGTTCCTACAAACTCAAATGACATATCTACAAGCTTATCTCCTGAACAGTTTTTAAAGCATGAAAAACAGAAGAGCTCAAAATTAGCCAATAAGCCCATCTAATATCATCACCACAAGAAAACTGCTGAATGAAAGCAAGTTAAGACAGATGTCCCAAAGTATTGTCTTTCAAAGCTCTATGGATAACAAACCTACAGTCCAATTCTTATACAACACTTGTAATTCTCAGATTATGATTCTCTGTGAGATTATGTCTCTACAAGAAAGGAAGGCAATTTACAGTCAGATCTGACAGACAAGCATTCTTTGAGAGAAGTTAGCGCTACACAGCTCTGTTTCATTTACAGGAAACAAAAAACTGTATTTCAAAATGCATCATCCTTATTCACTACTGTGGAAAAAGCAACATTCCAAGTTGACAGACTGATACATCCTTACAGGACCCATCTTTGAGCCCAAAAAAGATCATGTCACAACATCTCTCCTTCAAGCCAGAACAACCATCCTGGGAGATAAGGACTGTGAATGAAAAATTTAATACAGTCCCTAACAGCATCCTTCTGGACAAACAGTTCAGTGCTGGATAAGCAGGGGTGAAGAAGTGCCTGAAGGGCAGAGTTCCTCAGGGCTCAGTTCCAGGGCCAGTTTTGTTTAACATATTGATCTATGATCTGGACGCAGCATTTAGAAGCTGCATGATCAAGTCTGCTGCTACCAAACTGCCACTGATTCTCATGAGGGACAGGAAGCCTTGCAGAAGGATCTAGGTGGATTGAGGCCCTGGGCAATGATTAATGGAATGAAATCTAATCAGTCCAAATACTGCCCACCTACAGTGAGGTAACACCAGGCTCAAGTGTGAATTGGGAGAGGAGTGGCTGGAGAGCAGCCCTGCCAAGAGGGATCTGGGGGTGCCGGCCAGCAGCAGCTCAGTGTGGGTCAGCAGGGTGTGCCCTGGAACCCAGAGGGCAAAACCCCATCCTGGGGTGCATCAAGCACAGCAAGAGCAGACAGCCAACAGAAGTGACTGTCCCACTGCATTCAGCCTTGGGGAGCCTCATCCTGAGTGGTGTGTGCAGTTCTGGGCCCCACATGTCAAGAATGTCAAAGTCCTTGGTTGCATCCAGAGGAAGGAAACCAAGCTGGTGACAGCACTGGAAGGCATGTCCTGCAGAGACCAGCTAAGAACCCCGGACTTGCCTCATTTGGTGGTAAGGAGGCTGAGAGGCAACCTCATTGCTCTCTACAGCTTCCTGAGGAAGGGGAGAGAGAGAGGTGCTGATCTCTTCTACCTGGTACACAGTAATAGGATGAGTAGGAAGGTCCAAAGCTGTACCAAGGAGGTTCAGACTGGAAATAACAAAGAAATTTTTTACTGAGAGGGTCGTCAAACACTGCAAGTCGTCAAGAGACTTGTTAAAGAGGTGGCTGACACCCTAAGCCTATCAGTATTTAAGAGGCATTTGGGCAATGCTTTTCACAACACACTTCAGCTTACGCTTCAGCCCTTGTCAGCCCTGACTGCTGTAGGTTCCTTCCAACTGAAATAGTCTATTCCATTCCATCCTAAAAATCAGTTAGAACACTGGAGAAACAAAACCAAACAAATACCATTACACTCTACCAAAAAAAAAACCCAAATCCCACAAAACACACCTTTCCTACCAAATTATAGAGTGGGAAGCATGCATTACATAGTACAGAATTATGCTAAAAAGGCAAGCATTTGGAAGATTCAAAACAAGCAGACAGATCTCTTTAGAATCCTATGGTAGACACAAGGCTTCTAGGAATTTCAGTTACTTTGTATATGTTTAAAGTAAAAATTGCAAGGAAAAGTGATTCAACTGTTGTGATGTAAAACAACTCAGTAAAACTATCAGCCTTGTGATTCTTATTGAATTTTCAAAGAACGTATAGCTAGAGTGGAGTTAAGGACCACTAACAGAAAGTCACTGAAGAACTATTTACAGATCCTATAGCAAATGATGGTCACAATGGTAACAAGGAGCTCCTAATTCTGCATGACCCTGTATGACAGCCATTTTATATAAGAAGCCCATCTTCTCTCATGGAACTTTATTTTATAAGAGCAAACTGTAGGGTAATCTTACTATGAAGCATTTAAAGAATGCCAACAGAGATGTCAAATTAATTTTGAAGACCAGACAGCTCAAATGTACAAGTAGTAAGTTTGCAGAGTACTAGTAAGCCTTTAAAGACTTTAAAGACAAGCGATTGCTTATGGCCAATTGAAGACAAAGCTGCAGTGAAAGAATAGCAGGGAAAAAAATTCCCTGGCAGAAGCAAAATTATTAGGGAAAGTAAAAGCACTGCTACCCAAAGCTAAACATTCAGGTTGTCAAATAAGTTCCTGAAGGACTAGAGGAACTGAAGATACACATTTTTGCCAACTGCAAAAAGCAAGCAGAGAGACAGGTAGTACTCTCTACACTCACTATGAGACCTTTTTAAGTTCTATGACCCTTAGTTTCAATGAAGAGGTACATTCAAGTTTTGCCTCCATAAAAAGATAACCTTGCTAATTACTTGTTCTGCACAGAATATTTTTGACATATGACTTGTGTAAAAACAATAAACAAAAAAACCCAAAAACCCTCTATAGTTACTTCAGGTGGTGGTTCTTGGTCATTCTTCCAAGATGCATCTGAACCTTTTTCCCTGAAAGAAGAAAAAAAAAAAAAACAACACAAAACACAAATTAGACAATCCAGACAGATGAAGGCTAGCACCTTCTATAAGGTATCAGGTCTCCCAGAACAGGAGCTTCCTCTTTTCAAAGAGTTACTTAGTTTTTAATATTGTTTGTAAGCAAACAGTAGTATCTAGGTCAACTCAGGGCTTCACTACTCTTGAAAAATCTTCCTACTTCAAGTGATGACTAAACATTTCAAACATCCTAATACTAAATTTTAGACCATATTCTCTAAACAAATCCTTTCGAACCTTAAATGCTTTAAACCTGAACTGAGGTAGTTCACTGCAAATTTCTTATGCTGTTGACTACAATCACAAGCATTCTTATTCTTCTAGTTTCAGAAAATGTACCTTTAGTCAAAAAGAACCTACTCATTCAGTAGGTCACATGAACTCATTCAGTGGGACACAGGCTTTCAGTATAACTACAGCAAAGTAAATTCAGAACCAAAAGACCCTCAGTGCTTGGCTTACAATCTTATTAAGACAGTGTTAGCTAGACAACTGGGTTTCACCTTTTATTTTTTTGTAAACATAAAATTAAATTGCAAGGCAAAAGACATTTAAAGACACAAAAACTCAATTGTCTTGCCTGACAAACACCAAATAAATTTGGATTAGTCTAATTTATTTAACCCACTGCAAATTCCTTCACTAAAGATCAAGTAATTTCTTTGATTAGCAAAGAATTTGTGAAACATATTTAAATTACATTCTCTGTAGTCAAGTTTTTTTCCATGCTGCTCTTAAATTTTATGTGTTTTGGTCTGAAATATCAAGGTACAATCCCTATCTTTGCAGAAAAACTGTATAAAACAGTGTAATACTGAAAATTTTTACTTGAAAAATAGAACCACACAGCTAAAACCATCTAAGTGTTCAGTGTAAAATGCCTTCAGTCATTGCTCTAATGCAAAGAGGTTTTTTTGTATCCATCAAGTCAGCAACAACCAAGTAGCAGTAACTACAAAAAACTACATAGCCATTGGCATCAACAGCCTGTACTTCAGAGGTGCTTAGTCCCACCCATGAGAGCACTGGCAAGTCATCTGGAGGTACCTTGTGCCTCAATCCCTAACTATAAAACTGAAGTTCAACCTCTACATGTCCTTTTGAGATTATGAGTAAAAAGGAAGGCAAGGAAGATATTTTAAACTTCAATTAGAAGACGACATTACAGGGAGCAACATAAGGACTCTATACTAAAGTTATTTCTCAGCTGCAGAAAAGTTATTTTATTAATATGAACTGAACTGCTTCTTCCTTTCATCTTGTTATTTTTGAGCAACACATGCCTGCCAGAAGTAGCAGAGCTCACAGGAATTGCCAAGACCTACGGTCATTCAGCAATATGTAACATCACTGACTGCAAACTTTAAATCATTCAAGGTCAGGCAGCTTATCTCACTGTCCCAAAGCAGCCTTCCTCATTTCAGAAAACAAAAACTGCTTTTCATGCTCCGAGGTATTTAATATCTTCTGCAAAGGACAATATAGTAATTCTTTTGACTTGTGAAGTTATATACTGTAAGACCTTGAAGTCTAACAAAAGGTAATTCAGAGGAATCATGAAAATACATGAGCTTTTTTAGAACTGGGTTTCAGGCAATACAACACAAGCCTATCTTTAGCAACAAATTATTTTGCATTCAAAAAGTTTTACACTACACTTTTACTTTTTTGCTATGAAGTGTAAGGCTTATTCATAGCACTGCAACTTTGTACAATGCAAGCAGATTGCATTTCAGATTTCAGAAAAAGCTTCAAACTCAGTGTTTCTTTCAGATCTTAATCTTGATTCCTTTCCTTTTCAAAGAACCATCACAGTTTTGAAACTTTAAGCCTGTAATACTCCAAATCTGGTCTGCACACAGTCAAACTAAGAAAAAGCAGAAAATAAAAATTATTGGTTATCAAATGCCATCTACTAAGGTGCAAAAGTCTTCGAATGGATCACTGACCAATGCTTGACTTTTCTACTATTAATGTCACATTCTTATAGCATTGAAGTGTCTTCATACAGCATTACAGCACAATTCAGAAATCAGTTTTCATTAAAAATGGATGAAGAATTTCTATTTCATGAAAAGGCAGCTTCAGTCAATAGAAGCAAATGCTTCACACAAGCTTAAGTAATTGGACTGACAAAACCCAGAAATAAATTATTGTTTTAGTGTACTGTAGTTTAAGTCACACTACTCATGCTAATCAAGACAAGAAACAATGTCTGAAGCACTGTTCAGCTGTGCTGGTAAGCCATGGAAGTCTCAAGTATCTTACCCAGGTTTCAGGTTTTTATCACCTATGACAATGAAGTACTACCAAATGAAAAATGGTTTCCCAAACTATTTCCAAAGCATGAAACAAAGTAAAACACAAGTCTCCCATCTCAGATGCTGAGTACAGCACACGGTTATTGATGCAGCAAGCAGATGATTAGAGTCTGTGCACTTTACTGTGCTAAGCAGCAAAGTTTAATAGCGCAAATCAAAGACCAGCTGGCATCAAAATGCTGCAGAAAAACAAACAAGCATCAGAGCAAGAAAGTGATCTATTTTGGTCCTCACTGAAGGGAAGAAAATATGCTTGTTGCTTGCACAGAAATGAGGAAGTTAAAAAAAAAGACTCCTGCAGGTCTGACTAAAGAAAAGAGCTATTCAGTATGAATACGGGCGCAGCTGTAATGAATGCAAACAATTAATCAACCCCTGAGAACTAATCCTAAGAAAACAGAAACTAAGTCACTTGTATGACAAAAGATAGCTAACCTACAGTTATTTCAGATGATTGCTCATCAATAATTAGAACATTAATATCCAGCTGTCATTTATTATGTTTTATTTTTTAGTCTGTATCTTTGAATACACGTTCCTCTAAATGGCATCAAGTCCTATTTAAGCATGCTACTTTCCTCAGTCAGACTGGGATACACAAACACTGCCGAGAAGTTTCTGAACATCATACTACATTGTCACTCAAATCCCTCCTCTCTTGCAAATTTAGAGGGTAATTTTTATCTAGAATTGTTATCTTCTAATTGTGAAATAGATTTACTGATACTTACATTTCAATTCCAGCCTTATAATATGAAATAAAAATAGTAAATTAATACAAACTTGTTCAGAATACAAACAAATTATCAGTTCTGAAACTATACAGGAATCTAAAGAACAAGAAAATCTGGAAAGTTCATCTTGAAAAACTCTTTTATAATCATGAATATGTGTGTCAGAGGGTATGGAGGAAGTATCAATGTCTTTTCTGGTTGTGGTATTTCAGTTAACAGCAGCAGAAAAAGAAAGCAAGCTTAGTATTTTAAGTAGAATAAGCTAAACTTTAATAATTACAGCACTTTAAAGGCTTGCAGTTTACTCTTCACTGCTCTCAACGGCAAAATAGTACAGTCTTGTTATCACAACATTGTTGAAAATACCTCAAGGAAACAAAGTTAAAAGTGTTAAGCTTAGAGTTTCTCACTGAAGTCTCAACTTCAATGCAACATTTTTAGCTATATAAAAAAAATTATAACCAGATTAGAAAATAAATCAGACTCACTGTTTTAGTTTTTCTGCAAATATATACTGGGTGAAGTCCTCTACTGATGGAGCAAAATACATGCTATCTTGCACATTAATACCTTTCTCTTTGATATGCTCAGAGCTGTTAAATCTTATCACATAAAAAGGATGTGAAACAGGACCAAATACCTCAAATATCTGAAAGAAATAAAATTAAAATGTTTAAGTAAACTACAAGTAGATTAGTAGTAACTAATTTCATTGTAGACTGATATTTAAGAAGTCCAATATATTTTCAAAATGCAGCGGCAAACAGAAGTTCCTTTCACACTTTTTTTATTACCAAATTTTGTTTGACAGTGTATTTCCCCAACTACTGTTTTTTATGATGTGGAACAGTAAGTTCTCATATCCTCAGTAATCCTTCCTTTTATCAAATCTCTGGTTTTTTGTGTCTGTTATGCTTTCAAGTCTCGTAACACTTGGAACAATCTCCTGATCATTTTTTCCTCCAAGTTCATCTTAATAAGATGCCTTTACAACAGTTACTGCTTGTTCCCCAATTCCATAGAGACCTGAGAATTCTGCCATGTTTTACAGAACATCTGCACTGTTTGCTCCACTCACATCTAGCATTTAGAGATACTTCAGTAGTAACCATTGTGGATAATGGCTTTCCTTCTACAGAAAACGCAAGATTCAGTACAACAACCCTCTCAGCAAACATTCTTCACTGGCCTTAAATCAGAACAGCACAGCATAGAAGAAAACATTCCCCATTTTTCGTAAAACTTCACTCTAACCACTGCCCCTATCTGGCAGTAAAAGAGCACATACCCAGTTATTCCAAGATATCATACAACTGAAAACTATCTCTTCCTCTCCACAAGCCCTCTGAAACACTGGAAACTCAACAGATACTGTAATTCTGCAAGGATGCAATTAATTCCAGGTTAGGAATTCTTGAGATTAAAAAAACAGATCAATACAGCAAGAGTCAAAGGCACAGAGAGAAACTATATATCAAGGAAGCATTCTCTTTCACTTAGTAGAATTCAACTCTACCTTTTGGAGCACTAAAGCACACTTCCAATTTTATATTAGAATAACAAGTTCTTATTTTACACCCACCTTTCCTACTGCTTGACGATCTTCTTTAAAAATTATGCTTTCCTCATTTACTGGAGGCAGGCCTTTCATTGATTCGATTATTACTAAAACAGAAATAAAAAAAAATAAATTAGAACTTTATGTTTCAACAGCATGTAGTTAACTGCAGTAAAACTTAACAAACCACACCACTACTTGTCTACTTCAGTTTGTAGAGTTGCAACCAAATATTCTTTCACATGTGTTAAAGTACTTAGAATCACACACCCCTTTCTCCAATGCCTATATTGCTTACAGAATTATTGTTCTCTGGGGTAAAGAGAGTCCTAGGAATCACACCAGACCACAAAAGCTTTCTGGCAGTTCAGTTACAGCAGCAACTGATGGTGTTTATAAATGCATATACCCAATCTGTTAGCTATTCTGCAATTTAATGCCTAGAAATCTCATACAATATTTGTGCCTAATGATGATTGAACTTCTCTACCTGTAAAAACAGAATGCTCAGTTAAGCTTTCTCAATGATTGTCCATCAGCAAATAGTCACTCAAGTACACAGTGTCACTCCAAAAAAAGCTCAAGATCATCACTCCTAAGCTTACATAAAAGGACTTTCAGCAATCAACATATCACCGAACTAAAAGATACTGCTACTACCGCAATCTGCAAAAAACTTAATGTGCCAAACAAGGAAATGACAATTCACCAGCTTAATAGTTCACTGAATTTCAAAAGAATTTGCAAAATCAATTTCTTTGGTGCCTACCTTTAAGATAAAATATAAAGTGAAAGTACCTAATGTGTTGTTTAAGCCTCATGAGAAATACACCTTAGCAAAAAAAAAAAAAAACCCATAACGAAACAAAAAAAAACCAAAAAAAACCAAACAAACAAACAAAAAAAATCCCCAAACATTCACACAAAAAAAATCCTACACAAAATACACAAAAACAACACATCAAAACCTCTCAGATAATGTTCTCAACTTGATTCACCACACATAGCTCCCAGCCTGCAGTAGGCTGAGGAAAATATACTCTGAAAATGTACAGTGCACTAGTCCCATGAAACAGGAGAAACATTACCACCTCCAGCCTATTTGACTTACAGCTTCCCCTACCCCAACCCATCCTAAATTATCAGCTTCTACTCTTGCAGGGCCCAAAGTACAGCCCCAGGGAAAGTTCCTCATGTACACCAAAGCTGTTTACTTTCCAGGTCCCAACCCACACAGGGATTTTTTCTCTTCTCTTTAAGTACCTTGAAGCAAAACACAGCACAAGTTTTGTTAAATTCTGATACACTGCACAGAAGTTCAGAGAAAGTACTGTCATTCTGCTTTTAGCTACTGCACAGCAAGCATGAACCTACACTGTTCTAGCCTCAGATGTACCTCACAGGATGAAACATCCACGTAAAAGTATCACTCACTCACTGCACCCTGATGAACTTGGAAGCTTGCTACAGAGAACAGCAGAGATTCTAAGGGACATCAAAGGGACAGAAAAAGAATACTGACTGTTGTGTCAGAATAATATTAGTGGCTTGCAAATGAGAAATAACTCCCCTCAGACTAGACACAAACCTGGTATACCAGAGGTATCAATTTAGTTCAAAAATCAAAAATAAAAAAATCCCCAATTAGCTGACATCCCTAATATAGCCACAAATCAACTGAAATTGATGCCTGTTTTCAGAAGAACTGAAAAGAAACTAAAATGTAAAGAGAAAGAAAATTCATAAAGCAAGGTAGTTAAAGCAAGAAAATAATCACAGCTGTCCTGGAGGCTTACACTATTCATATGGTTTTATTTCATTATGACTATTACCTTGTTTTCTAACTTTCACCAACAAATGTAATTCAACACTTTATACATGTACCTTACATAAAGGAGGATGCAACCTGAAGAATTCACTTACCAGTAAACTGGTATTTGAAACATTATACTCACCAGTGAGGGTTAGAATTAAGGATGGTATTCAAAACTGCAGTCTTTAAAACAGTTTTGTTTATACCTTCACATTTTAAACCAAAAGTAAGAATAACAGCAAGTATGATTCAACTTGTTTTTAAAACTTGTTTTCAAACTACCATTTTAGCTGAAGAGAGCCTTCTTGAAATTCCCATTATTATCAATAAGCAAAAAAGGGCAAATTGGAAAAGAACCAGATTACTATCTTCCACACCCTCCTCCCAACTTCCTGCAAATTAATGAAATTAAATCTCACTACAATAAAATAATGTAGAGGAATTGTCTGCATTACCTGAAGTCTTTTAAAAGAAAAATTAATATCAAAAGTTGCATACTTTCTTTTGTATTACATTCAGCCTAAATACTTTAACCTCAAAATTGAACTTAATTTCTAATTTTCATAAGCAAACTGCTTGGAATGCAGTTCAAGCAGAATGAACACTTGAAATAGCTTATATACAAACATACTGTGGATGTTTTAGTAATATGAGCTTCAGCAAAACTTTGATTTCATTTATCAAATACTGAGGTCCGACACAGATCCAAAAAGATCCCTAAATCTCTATGCCTGCAGTTAAACCTACATCCATTCTGTATCTCAATCCCATTAAGCTTACCCTCCATCCATAAATCATGTTAGTCACACCATCCTCTGACTGCTGACAATGGGCAGCTTTCATTTGCTCAAGGTGCCAGAAGTGGAATGAATAAAGACATAAATAAATCAACAAACGAACTTGCACTCTTGAAGAAACAAGTCTTTTTCCTGTCCTCATCTATTAACAAGCAAGCACTTGGGACTGCACTGTACTGCATCTGTGCTTTCAGTTATACAGCTGCTATATATTCAGGGGTTATTCACATAAATATTCACATATTCATAAATAGCACCTACAACTGGAAGATTTTCTTAAAACACTTAAATACACTAACTGTGGGCATAATACACAGTAGAAAAAAAGGGGTTTGAATTAAAAAAATTAAACAGGGAAGTCACATAGAAACACATGTATATAAGCCAAATAAAAGGTAATTCAACACAAACATCACTGTTAGTTCAAATTCCAATTCAGCAACCTGCTACCCCCAGAAATAGGACACTGCAGGGCTGACACTTTGAAGGAACAGCTAAGAACATAAGTCATGCAGAGATATACAGAAATTATAATAATTAAAAACAAAGCAAACATATCTTGCCTACCTAGCTGCTCAATGACGCTGGAAACTGTCCCAAAGAGCTTCAGTTCAACATTATCTGGAAGAATTATTGATAAGTCTTCAACAGGAGGCAATTTCTGCAAACATCAAGTCAATGTTTAGCATGTAATATCACACAAAGGCACTTACCACTTTATCACTGCAGAAATTTGACAGTTTGAAAAAATCCCCTGGCATTTTGAAGATTTATTTTTTAAAAATGTAGTCTGATTTGTCTCTTTCAGAATCATTCTAAATGAACTCATCTTGGGGGACCACCACTTTTGAGGCAATCTCTCCAACAGAGACACTACATATTTCCATCACAACTACAGCAGAAGCCACTTTTATTAAAATGGAGAAAGCCAACAATTGACAGGCATTTCATCCAAGCTGGATGTACAACACAATAATTAAACAATGAGAAATCAAAAAATAAGACCACTTGTAACAACATTCAATGCATGCTAGAAGAAAAACGTACACAGGAAGAGGCAATATAGCATAAAATACACCAGATGTGTATCATCTGATTTAACAAAATGGAGTCTGTCCATTTATATAATGACTTGGATCCTTATAGAAGATGTAAATATCACAACAACCTATACAAAGAGATTTGGTACTAGATATCAGAGAGAACACAAAAAGCCAAACTTCAGATACAAAAATGATTACCGCACCATATTCAAATTAGTCTTTTGCCCATATAAGGATCAAAATCTACTATCAAAGACTAATTAACACCAAGTTCATCATCTACCTCCAATTTACCCATGAACTAAGATTTCTCTGTATATACCATGCTGCTATGAATTCAGCAAAGACTTTATGAAATACAAGACAACTAGAGTAAGCTTATCTTCAAATTATCTGCAACTTATCTTCAAATTCAACACCCTGATCCTAGCACTGAACTGCACTTTTAAAGACCACAACTAGAAATAAAATCCCACACAAACAGAAGAATCTTATCCTGGTTTATTAACACCTCACCTGATAATCTTCACTCTAACTAAAGTGTTTGGCAAAGACTTAGAGAGCAATGCAAAGATCAAATAGGCCAAGACTCTCCCAAACGTTATACCATTAAACACAAACATGAATTCAGATAAAAACACCACACCCTTCTACCGGCCAGTGACTTTTCCAACATTAAACCAAGTTCACTGCTAAGACTTAACTGAGTCACTTCTGTAAGAGAATGCAAAGGCCAACAACAAGCAGGAAAGTAAAATTCTGATCCTGTATCTCAAAATGGTGCCTTCTGCCGCATTATATACACTATCTACCAATCCTTGTTTCAAAGCAAGAGATTTCTGAAACATTTCCACTAACACTCCTTAATACATATACCCAAAAAACATGATTTTCTATGCTATTAACTGTGGTGGGTTCTACTGCACAAAACTCAATTTTCTTCACAGTGGCTGCTATGGGGCTGTGTTTCGGATCTGTGCTGGAAATATTGTTAACAATATAGAGATGTTTTTATTATTGCTGAGCAGGCCTTACACAGAGGCCAGGCCTTTTCTGCCTCTCATGCCACCCCATCAGTGAGGAGGTGCAAAAGGAGTTGGGAGGGGCACAGCCAGCACAGGTGGCTTGCACAGACAGAACAAAGGAACATTCCATATCACGTAACATCATGCTCAGCATACAAAGCTGGGTGGAAAAGGAGAATGAGGGACATTGCCAGTGACGGTGCTTGTGTGCCCAAGCAACAGTCACACATAGAGCCCAGCTTTGCTGGGGATGGCAGAACACCTGCCTGTCCATGGAAACTGGTAAATTAATTTCTGGGTTTGCTTTGCTTGTGTGGGTAGCTTTGCTTTACCTACTAAACTGTGTCTAGCTCAGCCTTGGAGTTTCTCTTTTATTATTCTGATTCTATCCCCACCCTGACACAGGAGAACTGACTTAAAATATAAATTTTTAGTTGGGTTAGTAGGAAAGGGTTTAAAAAATACCGCATTGTACTTACATCAATAGGCAACTCATCCTTTGTCCTAAGACAGTATGATCTGTTATCCTTCTCATTTGGATGATCATCTTCATCAGATACTGCTGAAGATGAAGATGAGGATGAAGAGAAGAGTGTGCTTGATGAACTATCTGAATCTGAATCACTGAATAAAAAAAGAAACATAGGAGTTACAATACTGCCTTCTCACAGTCACTGCTCTTGTAAAATCCCAACATTAGCATAACGCTGAGTGAAAGTTAAGAAAATATTTATTTCAAGCAATGCATCTTGCACAATGAAGGGCGAAAAAAATTGAATTTTTGCAAATAAAATGGATTCGTTTTCTAATTCATGTCCTGCCCAAATCCCCTGGTAAATATTCACAGAGTAATTCAGTATTTCTCACTGCCACGTGTGTAAGAGATGTTTATTGTCCTAGACTCTTAATATTTCAAGTAAAGAGAAAGAAACCAGTCCTTATTCATGTCAACATGTTCATTTAGCAAAAGTTTACGTTCTTCAAGGGCTGGTGGAAGAAAAAAGTGCGGAGAAAAAAAAATCAGACTAAAAGACTGATCCGTGGAGGGAGTTAAAGAAAAAACAAAACAAAACAAAACAAAACAAAACAAAGATACACGCAAGACAGGTAAGTTATGAGAATTTCATCTTTAGGGTTCATCAGCACAACAGATTTTGGAAGTAAAAAACACTAGACACTGGTGAAGCCCCTGAAAGTCAGGAATTTCACTATCACTTCATGATATTCAAGGAAAACTTTGAACCAACAAGAGTACTTCTGAAGTCAAACTTGAATCAATCAACTGTTAATGAAGCCTTGCACCTTTAAGAGGAGATTCTTAAACTTCATTTTAGCCTCCTCTAGTCAAAAGAAGCACATGGCCATCCTGCTGCACCGGCCAAATAAGAAAACACAAGACTTACTGCAACAACCAAAGTGTGCAGACTTCTAACGCTGCAACAGAGCCCACATTTAACCAGTTACCTTTCACCAACTACACTGAACATCAAAGCACAGATGCAGCAAGTACAAGATGGAACCATTAAAAAAGAAAAAAAAAACTTGAGAATGAGCTTTTCCACTGAGATGCCAACATCAGAGGACCTAGTACAGTGTGCAGACTCTGCACCCTGAGTCCTTCAATGAGGTTTTTCAGCAGTAATACCGCGCGTGTCCTGTCCCAAGAGCCGCAGGTGCATTCTGTGGGGCGGCCCACGCTCTCCAGGCCACAACCACCAAACTCATGCTTTCGTTAAATCCTACATCTTTACAGCGCTGCTGCAGAGACCTAATTTAACAGATTCCTGGCAAAAATATAACTGAAAAATTACACCTTTGATGGGAAGGAGCAAGCTCCAGAGAGTGAAACACCGGGGCGGGGGGAGGCGGCGGGCAGGCACGCCGGGCTCCCGGGCGCTCGGCCACAGCAACAGCCGCCCGAGGCCTCGGTGAGCAAGGGGCGACCCGGGGCGAGCGCCGGGGCTGAACCCACCTGTCCGAGTCCGACGAGAGCTCGGCGGCAACGGGAGAGCGGGGCCAGGCGGGCGGCGGCGAGCGGCGCGGTCCCGCGGCTGGGGGCAGAGGGGCCTGGGCTTCCCCGCCGCCCTCCGCAGGGCTCTGCACCATCTCCTGCTCGGTCGCCCGCTGCCCGCCCGGCTCCACGGCCGGGTTCTCCAGCTGCTCCATCACTTCCCTCTGCCCGCCGGGCTCCACGGCCGGGTTCTCTAGCTGCTCCATCACTTCCCTCTGCCCGCCGGGCTCCATGGCCGGGTTCTCCAGCTGCTCCACCACCTCTCGCTGCCCTCCCGGCCCCACGGCCAGGCTCTCCATCTCCTCCACCAGTTCCTGCTGCCCGCCCGGCCCCAAAGCCGGGTTCTCCAGCTGCTCCCCCATTTCCTGCTGCCCACCCGGCCCCAAAGTCGGATTCCCCAGCTGCCCTCCCAGCTCCATGGCCAGGTCCTCCAGCTGCTCCACCACCTCTCGCTGCCCGCCAGGCCCCACGGCCAAGCACTCCGTCTCCTCCACCACTTCCCGCTGCCCGCCCGGCTCCTCGGCCAGGTTCTTCCGCTGCCCGCCCGGCTCCTCGGCCAGGTTCTCCCGCTGCCTGTCCGGCTCCACGACCAGGCTCTCCAGCTGCTCCACCACTTCCCGCTGCCCGGCAGGCCCCAAAGCCGGGTCCTCCAGCTGCTCCACCACCTCTCGCTGCCCTCCCGACTCCACAGCCAGGCACTCCGTCTCCTCCACCACTTCCCGCTGCCCGCCTGGCCCCAAAGCTGGGTTCTCAATCTGCTCCACCACTACCCGCTGCCCGCCCAGCTCCTCGGCCAGGTTCTCCCGCTGCCTGTCCGGCTCCACGACCAGGCTCTCCAGCTGCTCCACCAATTCCCGCTGCCCTCCCGGCCCCAAAGCCGGATTCCCTAGCTGCCCGCCCGGTCCCACGGCCGGGTTCTCCATCTGCTCCACCACTTCCCGCTGCCCGGCAGGCCCCAAAGCCGGGTCCTCCAGCTGCTCCACTACCTCTCGCTGCCCTCCCGACTCCACAGCCAGGCACTCCGTCTCCTCCATCACTTCCCGCTGCCCTCCTGGCCTCAAAGCCGGGTTCTCCAGCTGCTCCACCACTTCCCGCTGCCCTCCCAGCCCCAAAGACGGGTTCTCCATCTGCTCCGCCACTTCCCGCTGCCCGCCGGGCTCCACGGCCGGGGTGCCCAGCCGCCCCTCCATTCCCGCGCCACGCGGGCCGCAGGACCGCCCCCGGCACGCGCCACTTCCGGCCGCCGGGAGCCGCCCCCGGGCGCGTGCGCCGAAGCGAGGCGGGACCGGGGAGGAGCGGGAGCGGCCCTGGAGGATCAGGGCACCGCTGTGGGGGATCGGGGCTCGGGCATCCGGGAAACCTTCGGGTGGGGTAAATCCCAGACCCGGCCTTGGTGTCTGTGGTGCCTGCTTGAAACACAAAGCTGAAGCTTATGGCTGCTCTTGCTGAGGACCTGCTGCGAGGGATCAGTTTTTCCATTTTATAAATGTGCTGACAACACACAGAATCATGTAATTAAAACGAAAAATAATTTCAAAAAATAATATCAAAGTACTGTACTAATAGTAATTTGTAGTATTCTGACGTAGTGACTGCATAATGATATTGATTGTATAATAATGCCAAGGTCTTCAAGACATAAATGTCTGTTTGTGTTCTGAGTTCACCATAAATACTTTACAGTTTTGGAGCTTGAGGTTTTTTGTGATGTCTGTCTCACACAACTCTGTGGGGATGGGGAAGGACTCTGCATCCCAGGATGTTCCAAATGTGGTGTCCCTGACCCATAGGAGAGAACAAACTCGAGTGTGTGTCCGTGTGACTACTCTGTGTGCTTGGTGTCACACAGATAAAGCTTTTCCTCACGAGGGTAACGTAGCAGACAAAGCACCATGTTCTCTCTTTAGCACAATTTATCTGTGGGAAATGCCAGATGTTCTAAAGATGCTCAGCATCAGGAGGTCACTGTTAGGGTGACAAGTCCCTTTAACCCAGCCTCCAAAGTGTGGTCTGACAACTCTACTCCTGGGCAAATGCTGTGCATCCCTGACCACATCACACTGTCCCTTAGACAGGATTCCAAATGGTCTTCATTGCCAGGCAACAGAGTACAGCATAGGCCTGAGGAGGAGAAGTAGATAAAAATAGATAAATACTTGAAAAAGTTGCATGTGATAATGCTGGAAGTGCCAGAGAGAACTGGGACTTAAATATCTGATGAGAGCAGAGAACGATGTTTTCCAGCTAATAACCTTCCCCTCCATCTCTGAGAAAACTGTATGGCCCACAGCTCAAATGGCACCAAAACCATTTTATTCTTGTCCAGAATGTCAAGGCTACATTGAGCCCACTGTCACAAGAGTGCTTCACTAGTACCCCACACAGGCTGAAGGGAGCATCTGATGGCAGAAGATTCATTCTCTGTTTGTTCCACTCTCCATTATGACACAGCAGATGCAACCAGCAGAATTTCATTTAGTAGGCAAGTCATCCAAATTTGTATATAATCCAAATTTATTTCATCAGTACTTTTTTTCAGTTGTCTACAATTACGTATAGGTCAAGCAGAACGGATGTGTTATGGGCATTTGACGGTTTTGCACTGTCATAAGCAAGGAGCCTTTATGGGCTGTACATGTAAAGAGCAGCAGTAAACTCTCACTGCACAATTGCCCAGAACACCTAGGGTAGGAATCATCTTCACTTTCAGAGACAGCATTGGGATCCTGAGAAGAGTGTGAGTGGGAAGCATGTTCTGAATATTACTGACCTGTACTGCGAGCACTTTAACAAAAGAGATCTTTAGAAAATCATGCAATTAGTTGTCAACAATAATTAGTTGTCAATTGCTTGGAGATTAAATATTGAACAATTATAAAATTGGTTTCTATTGAATCTCACTGGCAAATATATTTTAATCCCTAAGTGACAGAAATGAAATATGTATCCAATTAAACAATGAATAGATGCAGAATCCCACTAAAATCCAATTCTGCAAAACCAGGTTTCATTTTAAAACTAAGCAAGGACAGTTTATTATTAGTCTGGGATTTTTTTTTTAAATTTATTCATTTGTTTTGTCAGATGTATCTGAAATAGACTATAAAACAAGATGTGTGAGCTCATGTGAAAAAGTTGATCAGTGTGACTGGGAAGGGAATAATTTCCCCAAAGCAGACAAAGCCCTTGCATCAGCCAAAACCTTTCCTAATAACAGGTAAAATAATTAATGCTATTATGTAGGATGGAATTAGTTGAATGAAAATTAATTTTATTTGCTAAACACACATCATTTATAAGTGTAAAAAGATATTCAGGTCTCTATGTTGCATTTATGCAAGTAAAATTCTTCAACTGTCTTATGAACTATGTCTTTCCTGCATTTTAAGGTATTTTAGTAAGTGTTTTATAGCTTTACTCTGGCACATAGATTGTGTTATGACAGTTTTCTCAGTGTTTGTGCAGAACTGGCAGCATCTTTCAAACAAGGAAGGAAGACACTTTATTTCACCTGAATGATGCTGCTTAGCCCTTAATATATAAAATAGCATTGCTCTTAGAACGAGGATATTGAAAGGCTTGATGCAGAGTAAACGTTGTCATCCACTCAGCAAAGGCGTGCAGTAAATAACCTGCAGTGTAACAGCATGAGCAAAGAGATGTTCTAGGAAAAGAAACATTTCAGAGATGAACACTTGAATCACAGTAGTTCCAACGCACGTTTTCAAGGTCTGAGCAGTGAGGAAATGTCACTGCTGGGACTGGAATCTGACGTCATCTGTCAAGGCTGGGATGAAAGGTACTGCAAGCCCTGTTTTCTGCCTCCAGTCTTTGATGAAGCTCTCTGGAGCTGTTGTTTCCTACATTTATTTCTTCATCCTTGCTGCTAAGACCAGTGTACATAATTGCTCCCATTGCACTTTTAAAGCTAAAGGGATGGCACTCAAACTATTATTGCAATGCTTTATTGCATTTCTTTGGATGCAATAAGGGAGTCTGTTAAAAAAAAATAGTTTCATCATGGTATCTCTTCTGGACTTGAACGCAGAAAATAAGTTGGAGATTTCAGTGTGCTGCCTATTATGTCTTGGGAGGAAAAGGTACAAATAAGAAAGGAAGTCATGTTTCTTTATATATTTTAAATATGAAAACAAATGCTATTCACTGTGATCTTTACCATTTATATATTTTATGCTTCCATATGCTAATGACTATACACAGTGATATCACTATATCGCTGTACTGTAGGCAGTATAAGCAGCTGGTAAGCCAATTGATATAATATTTTTTGATATCCATAAAGATTTCAATGCTGTCTCTCATAGGATCCCTCTGGGCAAGATGTCCAGCACACACCTGGATAAACATACCCTACAAAGGGTGAGCAACTGGCTCGTGGGTTGGGTGCAAAGGTTCATAGTGAATGGGGTGACATCTGGTTGGTGACCTGTCACTGAAGGGCTTCTTCAGGGTGCCATTGTACGGTCAGTGCTCTTCAGTGTCTGCACAGACAATTAGGCACAGGACTCTAAGGAGTCTTAAGTTTGCCCTTGATATTAAAATGGAAGAAATTATTGACTCCCTCAAAGTCAGAGAGGTCCTGCAGAGATACAGACAAATTAGAGGGCTGGGCAATCACCAACTGTATGAAGTTTAAGGAACACAAGTTCTGGATTCTCCACCTGGGATAGGAAAACCCTGTATGTATGTACAAACTAGGGAACAAGAGGCTGCAGAGCAGCACCATGGAAAGGGATCTGGCAGTCTGGATCAATGGCAATTTGAACATGAGTCATCAGTGCCCACTGTGTCCTGTGGGGCATCAGGCACAGTATCCCCAGCCAGGCAAGGAAGGGGATTGTCCCTCTCTGCTCTGAGCTGGGGTGGCCTCACCTTGAGTCCTGTGTGCAGTTTTGGGCACCACAAAATAAGAAGGATATAAAGCAGCTTATGGAGAGTGTCCAAAGGAGGGCAGCAAAGATGGTGGAGAGTCTGGAGGTGAAGCTGTATGAGGAGCAGCTGAGGTCACTTGGTCTGTTCAGCCTGGTGGAGACTGTAAGGAGACCTCATCATGGTCTACAGCTTCCTCACAAGCAGAAGGCAGAGGGGCAGGTACAGATCTTTTCTCTGTAGTCACCAGGGACAGGAGCCAAGGGAATGGCCTGAAGCTGTGTCAGGAGAGTTTTTAGTTTGGATATTAGGAAGAGGTTCCTCTCCCTGAGGGTGGTTGGGCACTGGAGCAGGCTCCCCAGGGCAGTGGTCACAGCACCAGCCTGGCAGAGATTTAGACAATGGTCTCCAGCACAT